TCTGCATGATGCTGCACAAATGTCAACTGCAAGCGACTCTTCTCCAGTGATATATTTCCCAAAACGGGACACTTCAAGTTGCGCTTAATTAACTAATTGCTTTCCGAGCTATAGAGGGAGAGTGAGAGAGAGAGAGAGAGAGAGAGAGAGAGAAAGAGAGAAGAGAGAAGAGAGAACGAAGACAGCTCTGCCAGCAGCTGCCGAAGCAGTTCGCGCAAAGTCATTCTCCCATAAGACATCAGTTTAGAACATTTAATTATTGCCAATTGCAAGTAATTTCCACACTCAATGATCCTGTGAGCCATTTCGCATAGAAGAAGTAAGAAAACTTAATGCCAAAATGATGTTTGATTCGATTCGATTGTGACTCAAGCAGGATGTGTCCTTCGATCAGATTCGATTTACAATTTTAAATTTGAAAACAAGTATTTTAAAAATATAGTTTATAGTTTGCTATTGAGTATTTATGTTGTGACAATTAAACAATTTGATAAGCAGAACTCTTTAATTTAATGAATATGTATTCCATGACTTTATTATGCGACACTAACAATAATAACAATGATAAAATATTGTCTGAAGATATTTGATGGCAATTATGTTTTGTTAAATGTTTAGAAAGCAAAGAACTTTAAATCATAATTAATTGTTTACATGCTTGAATTTGAATAAATAGCTTATTGTTAGTCGTAATTGTATCCAAACTATTTTAAATGCAGTTCTTTTTGGAAAGGTTTCAAATATTCATTTAGCTTATTTATCGTTCGAGTTACAATTGTTGTGAGAGGGTTTAGCAATTGGCTTCAAAAGCCTTCACATAAACCAACAATTGTTGTGAATAAGCCTAAATATAAATATATGTATATCGGAAATAATAAACTTTATATCGTTTCGGAATTATTGTATTTGCCGAGAAAGCAAACCCCAGTTGCAGATCTTAAATTATTTGAATCTTTCAATTTTAATTCACAAAAAATAAGCATGAAATCTTTAGTTTCCGAGCCAATGGCCTGCTGAAGGCGGCGAGGGGTGTGAAGAGGGAAAAGGAATAAAATAATACGGTAAACTTAAAATAATTATAAGGCTCGACGGAGTGCAGAACAAGAAGAATCAGAACCAACAACAACAGCAACAACAACATCAGCAACAACAAGTTGGACAGGACAAAATGCTTGTAATGCGCATGGGCGAAAGGACACCCCGAAAGGACAGTATGCCTCACCCCTCACCCGTTACCCGTTGGTGGCGTGAGGCAAAAAAAGGAAGAAAAAAAAAACACACACACAAACTAACAAAACAACACCCAAAAACGAAATTGAAATCGTAATTGAAAATGAAAATGAAAACTTGGCGTAATTGCAGTTGCTTAGTGAAAGGACTTAACAACTGGCAAAGAAGCAGGAAAATTAGAAAATGAAGGAAAACTAGACCATGGCCTTGGTTTTTGTTGTTTTTTTTTTCATTTCTTTTACAAGGCACCTTTGCTTTGTTCCCTTTCTTGTTCTTGTGCGGTGTTGTTTTAAGGGGTGAGCGGTGAGGGTAGACATTAGAGGAAGGGGTGGCCTAGGCTGGGGTGGGGTGGAGAGAGTTTGAATTTTTTTTTAAGGTACTACTACTGCTACTACCCCTTGCCTCAGCGAACAGCGAATAGTGAAAGAAGTCTTGGGAAAGTGGCAGCGGCGCTTGCTTTTTGCTTGATTAGATTTGATTTGTGTTATTTGTGGCATTTCGCTACTCTCCTCTCTCCTCTCTCCTCTCTCCTTTCTCCTCGCTCCTCGCTGTTGTCCTTGGCATTTCCTGCTCGTCGTTCCACATTGCAGGCTACATTTAATTTCTAAATTATCGACACGGCACTGCGATGGGCGTTACAATGGATCGGATCGGTGTTTTTGGGTAGCACGGAGCACAAAGTCTCCTGCTCCTCGGCAGACCTCTTTCGACTCCTTACCATGCTCCTACTGTGCATTGCTGTTTTTGTTTTGATTAAAGAAATTATAGTTCGTACAACTGTAAAATCAATTCCGATTTCAATTCCGGTTCCCATTCCCATTCCCTGTGTTGGAAAGTAGGCTATGAAATCAACTCTTTGGCCGACTGTTGCATGTGGCAACATGGAAAAGTGCAACGTTAACATTTGCCTGTATGGCTAAGGCTAATGAGGCAATTTAAATGCTAATTCTCTCACTTTAAGCGAACTCAACAAAATATCAAATTATAATCCAAATCATGAAGAACTGACATATTTGAAAGCAGCTTCCATTTAGGGGGTGTCCTTTCCGCATCCAACATATCCCGTGTGTGTGCCTGCAGCATCAGGGTAGGGCTTACAAATTATGAATATGAATATGAATATGAATATGAATGTAGCGAATGCTTTTATTATTTAAATGTCAAGCGCATTTAAAGTCTAAAGCCTAATACGATTCAAGTTTAATGGATACACAATACCAAAGCGAATAGTCCTTTAAATCGATTTGAGAGTCGGATGGAAATTCGATCAGTTTGAGACATCAATCATCACAACTATATCTATTCTATATCTGTTCAATTAAAAATTTAAATTTAATATCAATGAAACTGCCAAAAGGTAGTTGCGAACTGCTCAAATTGTATCTATAAGATTAAAGTTTAAATAGATGAAAGTTTTTAATCTCAGAGGAATTGTATTTCTGAGAACTATCTGTGAACAACAATTGTATATCTTAAATAACGAATGTATCTGTTAGACACAAATATATGTGGACTATATGGTAAAGTATCTGTAAGATGCAAATGTATTTAGCTGCTACAAAATATTTTGTGATATGCAAATGCATTTTTGCGATAGAAACACATCGGTTAGATACCAAGCTATCTGTGAGATACAAGCTGCAGTAACTTTTCGAGAAACAATTTGTATCAAATGCCAAAAACTAATGAGCAATATTTTTCAATAACCCAAGAATTGATTGTCAATCATTATACTTGTAGAGGGTGTCATAATATTGTTAGGAAGTTTATTATGCATTCGCAGAAACCTACAAGTATAATTTGTTTCAAAGGCACAAAAACATAATCATTTCCCGACTAAAATGTAGATTTTCACAGATCTACGAGGATTATCTATTCTAGTCTTGTTGTTTTTTGTATGGATTTATACGATTTTAAAGAACTGTGTCACATTTCGATATTTCACGTTTGTTTGCATTTCAGTCAGCTTGGGAGTTGTGGTACGAGTATTTGCTCACATGCCGCATTATGAATGTTGTTTTTATTTTTTATATTTTTCCAAAATTGTGATCGCATCATTTGGTCAACGCATAACGCAACGACAAAAGGACTCAGGACGCGCCGTAACCTAAACAAACAAAAGCTGCGGCTGCTGTGCACATTTGAAAGGCGCGTGCGCCACTCAGTTGACCCACAATATCCAATGGAAATGGGAATGGAAATGGAAATGGAACTGAAAAAGAACCTGATCCTGCCACAATTGACCGCACGCGCGCCTTCTAGTTTTGAAAGGTCAGCGGCAGCCGCACGCAGCTGACTTTTCCCGAGCAAACAATGGAAAAGCCTTTGCCTTAACCCAACTCCCTACTTTATTTGGTTTTTCTTTTTTAATAAACAAAACAAATAGAGCACAAAAAGTGCATTTCATATTTGTTTACTTTTTGATAATTTCAAATGATAAATGTGTTTTGGGAGAAGGTTGCTAAGCCGCGACAATATGACGCAATTAGGGTAATAATTTGAGGGATTAGTTTTTTGGAGCTGTAGCAACCACCCAGCACCACAACGAGCAGCAGCAGCAGTAGCACCACCACCACCACCACCACAGTTGCAGCTAAGAAGTTCAACTTCAAGTTGAAAGAACTTCTGGCGCTGCGGGTCGCGGCGGGTCCTGGCGCGAACTACTTGCGGTTTTTTTTTTTTTTTTGTTTAAATTATAACGAATTATGACATATTAAGATTTATATTTATGAAGCGCGCTGCACAAAGAACTTTTGCCAGGATGAGAAAAACAAGAACAACAACAACAACAAAAAAAAGGAAGAAAAAAATGTTCACAGGAGGCGACCGCAAGATGCTGCGATTCGCTGGCTCGCATCCTTGTTGCCTCCTGCGCCTGCTCAAATTTCAGCCTTTTGTTAAATGGGCGCCGGACTTGAACTTGGCACAGCTGTTCGGCGGCAAGTCGCGTCCTGGGCGAGTCCTTGCGCCGTTCGTTCGTGTCTCTCTCGCTCTCCATTTGCCTCGGGCGCTGCCTTCGTATTTTATGATTTCATATTTTGATTTATTGTTTTGCTTATTGTTTTGCAATACATTCACAGCATTTTTTTTTTTTTGGCCATGCCTTCGTCTATTGTTACCCTCAGTCCCGGTCCTTTTGCCACTGATCCTGTTCACCATGCGGTTTCTTCTTTCTCGCAATATTTATGTTAATTTCTGCTCAACGGTTTCTGCCAGCTTTGTGCGGCCAAGTCAGAAGCCAATAACACGAAGCGCCTTTGTAGTGCCAGTTAACAGTTCACTTATGCTGAAATCAAACTACTGAATTCATACATATCCTGAGCAATGTTGAATGCAGAGCAAATAGGTGTTCATCTTTTCCATTATCTTCTTATATATATGTGGAAGATGATTATGGATAGTTGGTAAAGACCAATCTGCTCGAATGTTTAGTACTTAATCAATAAAGCAAGTTGCAGAAAGACAAGCAAATCAAACACGAATTTTCTTGGAGGGTGCGAAATATGGTCACTCTAATTCGGGTCCATTGCATGCAACAAGAAATGCTGCATACTTTTAGATGCTGAATTTCCACTGGTAGAAATTTGCTGCATACTTTTAGGAGGCAGCAGTTAAATTTTTACTGATTTTCAAAAACATGGCAAATGCGTTCAGCTATGAACCCAAACACTTGTAAGCATTTAACTCGCATCTCGAATTGAAATGAGTTGAATGCTGCTGTGAATTTATTGTCAAAATTTGAGATCTGCCATACTAGTCGGAAAGATACAAGTCCGATAATCTGGAAACAGCAGACGTCAAGCAATAGTAGTAAATCATGGGCCAGATAGTCAGCCGCAAGCTAAGCGAGACGGAGCTAAGCGCACACAAAGCAGCGACGGGACTGTCCACTAAGCAACTGGAGCAGCTGCATGCCCGCTTCCTGGCGCTGGATCGATGTCAAAGCGGGTATTTATCGCCAACGGACCTTTTGCGCATACCGCAATTGGCACAGAATCCAATGCACCGCCAGATAATCGATGGCTTCTTCACGGATCCAAGCAACGATCGCATTGATTTTGCTCAGTTTGTGCGCACCTGTGCCACGTTTCTGGTGCCGCCATCTGGAAATTTACGTGCGAATGGACGTGCCCAGAAGCTGCGCCTAATCTCCAAAATGTTTGATACACAGCGAACTGGTCACAGCATCGAGCGATCCGATTTTCGGCGTGTGATGAAATACATGTTGGACAGTGTGCCGCCAACGGATGGGATTGCCATATGCCATCCACATCCGGAGAGCAACGAAATGGAGTTGCTGCAACTGGAGGAGCTGGCGTTTGGAGATGGAATAGCAATAGTGGACAACCAAAGCATTTCGTACGAGCAATTTGAGCTGCGTCTCGACACAGCCGTTGTGGAATCCAAATTGGCGATCAGCAAGTGGTTGTAGTGCGGAGTAGCCCGTCAAGCGGATGTCAAAATCCAAAAATTGTGCGCAAACTGATTTGAAAGTATTTTTGGTTGATTATTGATTTCGTAGATTTTCAATAGTTTTGTTCTTTATTCATGTCCACAAATTGCAATAGTTAAAGTTTTTATTTTGATTTCACTTTCACATATAGTATATATATGTTTATGTTCTGATCCGTTCCGGTTTTTTTGCTTTTATCTTTTTGTTTGTTTTAGTATTAAATATTTATTATTTGTAATAATATTATAATATAGATTTATCTTTTATAAAAGTGCGTTTGGATAAGTATTTAGCGAGATTCGTGCTAAAAAAAAATACAATATATGATAGAAGATAATACATAATAATATAATAATCAGAATATAAATGTTAATAATGAACATGACTTTTCATATGGCAGGCCGCAGGCGCCTTTAAAACTCGCACTATATAGCATTTAATATATATATATATATATATATATATATATATATAGTACTATATATTTTGTGTAATTCATTATGATTATGTGGTTTTTGTTTGTTAAGTTTTTTTTTTTTTTTTTTTTGGTTTTTTTGTTTTTCCTTTTGTTTTCTGAGCATATTCAAAATTTGTAACGTCTTTCGTTTCATGCTTAATTCTTTATGGAGCACTATTTATATATATATAATATATGTTTAGAGTTAAGTTTTATAGTTAAATCAATTTTTCTTGCAATAATACAAATACAATTTGGGAAGGTACGCTACAATCGGTTTTCTTTCTTTGTTTTTTCTTTTTATAACATTTTTGTTTTTGTTTTGTTTGTTGTTTTATTTTACAAATTAAGTGTAATATTTTTGCATTTCATTTTTGTTAAGAATTTGGTTTGACGCGTTTCAGTTATAAATGTAAGTGTGCACATTACATTCAAATACATTAGTGTTGTTACAAGAATAAAACAAAAATGAGACATGCAATAGCAGACAACAATATATAAAAGGTGGAGAGGGGAAATACTAGCGCGCAACAGAAAAAGGGGGAACATTTTGATGACTACAATAATAGGTGAGAGTAGCAGCTACAAATAATGTAGTTCCTGCGGGAACACGTGACCAGGCCTCGTCCTCGTCCTCGCCTCACATTTTACTGCCGTCTCACGGTTCGCTCGCGCTCGCGACCGCTCTCCTCGCGCTGCAGGCTGCCGTGGCGTGGCGGCGATGTTTGACCACCGCTGCCAGCGGCGCCGGCGCCGACTGAACCGTTGAGAACGCGCGCCTTGCGCGACCGCTTAAACTTGGCCATGTCCTCGCCAAAGACATCGCCGGTGCGCAGCGCCGAGATCAGATCATCGAACTCGCCCTTGTTGTCGCCCTTCGCATTCGAATCGCAACCGGGGGCGGCATTGCCGCTGCCATTGCTTGAGGATTTGAGGCCCAGATTGCGGGCGACGCTGCTCATAAGGCCGGTTTTGTTTTTGCGCTCGATGGTGCGCTTCTTGAGCTCCGCCTCCTGTTTGGCGCGCTTCTCCTCCTCCTCCTGGCGACGACGGAAGCTCTCGTTGTCGTTTCGCGCTTCGCCGAATGCGGCCAGAAATGAATCGAAGATGCCAAAGAACTCGTCCGGCTGCAGCACAGAGCCATCCTCGCCAAAGAGGCGCACGGCGCGATCAAAGCGCGTCTTCATATCCTGGAATTTATCCTCGAGCTCGGCAAAACGGACCGAGGCCTGCGCATGGAACTCTCGCATCACGGGCAAAAAGCGATCGCCTTGCTGTGCGGGTCCCGAGCTCCGATGGAACTCAATCTCACGGGCGACATCCGCCAGGCCTGTGCGCAGCATCTGTATATCCTTATCCATCTCGCCGAGCGACACCTTGGACGCCTCCCGCACATGCGGTATATCATCCTCCAGCTTCAACAGGTCCTTGAACTTCTTCTCAATCACCTGGACGAGGTAGTGGAGCAGCGTTGTTCCCTTCGCCGCACTCGATTTGGTGTCCGCCAGACGATTCAGCGACGCCAGCCTAAATCCAGACGCATTTCCCCGTGCTCCACGATTCATATAGTTGCCTGCAAAATGTACATTTCACATCATAGTCCCGGCAAATAATAATATATATATACATATGTATATATATATAGGTTAATCTTACCCAAAGCCAGCACCAATTCGAGCAGCTTGCGCAGTCGTCGGGAGCGGGCAACTTCGCGGGATGCCTCCATGACGCTGGTAATGCGCGGAATGAGGTCATTCACTGTCAACATGAAGCGCTTCTTGTAGTGCAAGCTCTTCAACCGCTGCTCATAATGTGGTATCCTAAATGGGAGCAAGTATGAATAACACAATAAATGACGAGCCATACTACTAAATGCAATTGACTCACTTTGAAATCTCGTAGAGAAAACGATCCGCACGTGCCAGCGACTCAATGTCCTCGCTATGCTCGTCCAGCAAAGCACGCTCCTCCGCCGAGGGCGTAAACTTCAGCAGCTGCTCAACCATGTCCAGTGCCAGCTGCTCATTGCTATCCATCGAGAGTATAGCTCTAAGAAACACAACACAAAATTAGTTTCACTTTCGATTGTTGATTTGGATTAATTACTCACTTGGATATTTCCATGTCGCTCATCTTCAGTTTGCTCAATAGAATTGTGCAGTTCTGCGCTCGACGCCCATCAATGACGGAGAGCACCTTCTGCTTGTTCTTGCCCGTCACGCGCAAATCCTCATAGGAGCCGTCGGTCGCCTGAATCGCGCCAAGAAAACAAAATGAATTTAGCGAATCTGAGGCTCCCACTTTCTCTCTCTCGATCGCTCTCTCAAGCGTCGACTTACCGAGACGCCATTCTTCTGATAGGCCGAGAACAGCTTATCGATGGACTCGAGCTCCATGTTGTTGTAGAGTTTGCTCTCGTCCAGCTCGCTCCAGACGGTTCCTTGTAGTTTGGCATCGGGCAGCTTGGACCAGTTGAAGCTCTTTAGGGGATTCGCTGGCTGTGGCACGTTCTTCTTTGGCAACTCCACTTTGGGTGGTGCTGGTGCTGGTATCATTACACACACACATATATATATATATATAGAGATTCAAATTTGTGGCTGAGCTTACCCATTGCTGGCGCCATGTTAGGCGGCGGCGGTGGGGCGCCGGGACAGGGTGGCGGTGGTGGCGGCAGCATCGCTGGTGCCATGGGTGGCGGAGGCGGTGGCACCGTCTTCAACATGGGCGGCGGCGGTGGCGGCGGCGAAACGGCGCCATTGCATCCAGTTAGGCCGGCGACCTTCTGGTCATCGGGTATGCTACCCTCGGTGACGAGCCGTTCGAGCCGGGCGCGCTCCTGCTGTTCGCTTTGGAGGCGATGCTGTAGATCCTCGGCCTTCATCTCGGCGGTCTGGGCGCGCTGCACCGCTTGCGAGTGCTGGGCGGACTCCTTTTCGAGACGTTCGCGCATGCGCGCCAAGCCGGTCTCCAGATCCTCCTTCTCCTGCATGCGCAAGTCGAGCTCCTGCTCCTTTTTGGCCAGACGCGACTGCACCTCGAAGTTCTCGCGCTCCAGCTCATCGGCACGCTTGCGCGCCTGCGTCAGCTGCTCCTCCTTGACCAGCAGACGCACCAACTTGCTAACATCGATCTGAAGCGGCGCCACATCCGGATCGTGCACGTGCGACTCGCTGGCCAGCTTCAACTGCTTGCCGGGATCATCGGGATCCGAGATGAGGTCGCTGCTCGGCCGCTGCTCCACCTGCAGCACAATCTGCTGCACCACGCGATCGATCAGCAGCCAGTGCTCCGTGCAGTGGCCCGTATCTGGCAAGCAATCAGCAATTTCGATTAGAATTCGATGGCCAACAAATTAGAAGAATAATTATAAGACTTACAGGGCAGGAGAAGCATGTGCTGCAGCAGGGATAGCATGTGGGGGTAGGCGGGCGAGTGGCTCAGCTTGCGGCGCAGCAGCTCAAACATGGAACCGGCGCTCTTCGTGTCCACATGCTCCTCATTGAAGCGGCGAGCGAACTCCTTCTCATCCTCGGCGCGCACCATTTCAAAGAAGTCCTACGCAAAGATTGGTAAGAAATAGAGTTATGGATATATATACCAATCGATATACTCACCAGATGCCTGTCGAGTGTCTCATTCTCGTGGGTGCGCAGCTTATCGATGACGGGCTGAATGCCGAGCATGAGGAACTCATAGCGCAGATGCAGTCGGAACTCGAGATTCTCCTGGCCGGGCCCGTAATTGAGCACGGCGTTCACAAAGGACATCAGCGCCGTTTTGAGATTCACATTGTCCCTGTACGCATACGTGGAGCGATCCAGATCATTGACAATGCTCTGGAAGCGTGTGCGCTCCGTTGCAAATTCCTGAAAATGCAGCATTGCCTGGAGCACCTTTCGATGCCCGCCGGGCACCAGGCAGACGGCGCCCAGTATCTCCAATGCGGAGATCTTCGTTCGTATATTGTCCGCGGCAAGGGATCGAGCAATCGTATCAATCGCCGTCGGATGGGCGAGCACATGGGCGCGTCCCATCGAGTTGTTCATCAGCGCCTTGATGCAACCAATGAGGCTGGTGTGCAGCGAACTGTTCGCCACCCGTATATCCAATTGCAGCAATAGATTCAACAATGCCGGCAGCCCGTCCAGCTCAACGAAGCGCAGCACAAAGCTGTGCGTTGAGGTGCGCAGCGCCGTCTTTAATGCATCGACAAATGCGGCATGGTTGTCCATGCGGTTGCTCAGCTCGTGGCTGGGCGAATCCTCTGGCGAGAGCGAGACGTGCACAACCAGATCCTTGAGTCGTTCAATATAATGCTCGGCGGTGGGTGGCTGTGTTATCGCCGCGGGTCCATCGGGTCCATCTGGCGCATCCAGTGGCAGTTTGCGCGAACAATAGATTTGCCATTTCTTTTGCGCCGGCAGACTGAGCATCGCCTCCTTGTTGGGCGCCGTCAGATCCAGCTCCTCGACAAGCTCCGCAAACTTGGAGTCCAGCTCATCCACCGATGGCATCGGCTGTGTCGGCGTCAACGTTTGCAGCGTGAACGCACCCTCCACCACACAAATCTCCGGCGGCTCATCATCCTGCATGGAAGCGAAACAAAACGTGGCAACAATTAACAATTAGCAGCAACAAATATTAAATTGCCATTGTAAAACGAGGTGCTCAAGCGCTACGCGGACCCAGCTACTGTTCCTCCCCCTCATCCGCCTCCTCCTCCACCTGCTGCTCATGCAACAGCAAAAAAAAAATGGAGGCGTTAACAGTGCATGTCCATTTACAAATAGACAAACAAACAAACAAACAAACACAGCGAGAGCTCTGCCCATTGCCCAACCTTGTCCGATTGCATTGAAATGGAAATTAAAAGTTTGTAATCGATCCATATAAAAACAGAAAATGAAGGGGCACAGTTTAGCCAGTGGGAGTTGGAGTAGCTATCGGTTCCACTTGTGATTCCACACACACACACACACACATATTATATTCTTTTGCGCTTTGCAGTTCTAATTCGAATCTAATGCAATTGCTGATGCTTAATCCTATATATTTTGAAAGCTTGTCAGACTTGTTTAGTTGACATTTACTAAATAAATAAATAAATAAATAAATAAATAATCCAGGGATTTTCGAGCAGTTGAATTTAAGTTGAACAACTACTTAAGTATTCCAATTCTTGTTGAGATATTTCAATTTTGTGGATGGGGCTCAGAAGAGGGCACAGTAGATCAGTGCAGGTAACCCAATTATGATTAATAATATAATAATGGCCAACATCATAACTAACATAACTATAAAAAACTTACATCTATCATCAATCTTTCTCTCTGTCTCTATCTGTATGCTTGTTAGTCTTCCCTGAGCCACTTTCCACTACATTTTACATTGACAATCTGTGCAATCTGTGCATGTTCTAGAACCATTTTCAAGCGACTTTCAGCATCGTTTAACAATTTACTAACTGTATTCGAGCACAGGTTATGTTGAGTTACCTTAGCTAGGCAGCTACAGCACAATTCTCGCCCGATATCATCACATATAGCTCAACTGCTCAACTTCTTGTTTGTTTCACTCTACACTAGGAAAAAAACCGACTTCTAAAACTGAACACGATGCGGCATCTTTTTCAAATAGGAACTGCTTTAATTTACTTAAAAGTTACAAATTTGGGAATAACGAAAAAATAAAGAAAAGTATAAATCTGCTCTTCGTTCTGGAGTCTAGAATTTTGGGGATTTTAATGCGCTTTTTTTCTGAGTGTAAATCTATAGCTTTAATTTTTTTGGTTTTTGTTTTTGTCACTTATGCAATTTCGTGCACAATTTGAGACGAGGAAAATCGTTGACTCGAATTACAGAGACAAACAGACAGAGAGACAGAGCGACAGACAGACAGAGCGACAGACAGACAAGTGGGTCAGGCGGAGATATGTGGGGAGCAGCAATTGTTAAGCTATGTTAACAATTGGCACGTGACTTTAGCTGGATTTTGGCCCCTTTTTGGCCACACGATAAAATGTGTGTGTGTGTGTGTGTTGCCCCGATTGGTGGCAAGTGTGCTTACCTTGAAGCAGCCACACCAGCCACGTCGGCCCCGAAAGACTGGCATCTTCTTCTTCTGCTGCTGTCGATAGTGCTTCTGCAGTGGCGTCTCGCTGGCGGCCGCCTGCGACTTCTTGAAGCTAACAACGCTGCCCTCGTCAACGTCCTCCTTGCTCAGCCCAAAAGGATAACCAAATGTGTAGCCTAAGATATTATGGGTGTAAAATGAATTGGACCCGTTGCCCAAACTGTTGCCTTCATCTGCATGTTCAATGCCCAACTGTGACTGGCCGTTGCTGCTGCTGTTGCTGTTGTTGCTGTTGTTACTGTTACTGTTGCTGCTGCTGCTGCTGCTGCTGTTGTTGCCGTTGCTGTTGTTGCTGCTGCCACCGCCGTACTGATTCCAGTAGCGATATAAGCTATTGATACAGCTGAAATCACTTAGAATGCTCTTCCAGTGCTCAAAATCGAAACGTTCCTGAAAATTTGCTGAACTGGTGTCGCTGGCATTGCCGTTTGGGCGACTATTGCTGGTGCTGTTGATGCAACTGTTGCTGCTGCCGCTGCTGTGACTATTGAGCGTTAATGTGGCAGTGCTTGCGTGGCTTAAATCACTGCAGCTATTCAAACTGGTGATAGATATTAAGCTATTGTTGTTGTTGTTGTTGCTGCTGCTTCTGATATTGCCGCTGTTGCTGTTATTTTTATTGTTGTAGCTATTGAGCACTATGTTGCTGCTATTGCTGCTGCTGCTGCTGTTGCTATTGCTGGGGCTGTTGTCACTGGTAATTGTTATCTTCGTTACACCCGCTGAGATGCTGGTTGTGGCAGCTGCTGTTGCTGTTGCTCCTCCTCCTGCTGCTGCTGCTGCTGATGATGATGATGTTGTTACTCCTACTGTTGCTGTTGCTGGTGTTGCTGCATTGATTGTTATGCAGCTGCTATTGTTGCTGTTGCTTGTTACTTTTGCTGTTGCTGCTGCTGCTGCTGCATTAATTTTGGGCTTCTCTAGTGTGCTCTCCGGCGTTGTTTGCAATATTTCCGTATTGGTGCTGTGCGTATCCGGCTCATTAATGCAAACAATGGGACACGATTGTAGCTTCTGCAATAATAAGAAAAAGAAACGAATTTCTGTCAGTTGTAGTTGGAATATATATATATATATATATATATATATATATATATATATATATATTAACAGATCATAAGCCGCTGTATTATTAAGCATTCTTGGCAAACCCCTCCTTCCTTCCGCGTGTGCTGCGCTTGGCTGGCCGCGTGAATGGTTTGGTTGAAGCCAACAATCTGACAGGGCCGAGGTGTCTGGCCAGACAAATGGCTGTCAACTCGCATGCCAAGGCAAAGAGACAAATGCAATTGCATTCAATTCATTGCTAGCGACAGTTGGCTCAGCCTACAACAATGCGTGCTATACTCTAAAAACCCGATGTGATCAGAGTCTACTGCTTTTTGTGTACATTGACCTATTACAGCTGAGACTATTGATTACGACCATGTTGATGGAGGTGCAACATAAACCAGCTAATCATGTTAAACCGGAACTAGCAGAATCAAGTCATTATCATCTGAAGTATTGGGTTTCGTTAATCTAATCAAAAGACAACAATTATATATATCATATATAATTATCATCAAGTTGAATAAGTTTCGAAATGCTGAATTGCTCAAGACTTTAAATTGCAATAAGCAATAAATAAATGAAAATAAATCCATATTCTTCGCATTTTATATTTTATTAATATTTTATTATATTTTTAATATTATTTTCGATGACTGTAAATCATAATATTCGTACTAACCCAAAAATAAACTAATTTTGGCAAATGTTCGATTTTCAATGATTTGTTATTAAATAAAAAAATGAAAAGATTGGGAAAATTTATATTTATAGCTATGAGTGAATTGAAATATTTAACTCTTTCTAAATTGTAATTAATTATTTAGAGTATTTGCTTGGCGTTTGGTTCTAGACAGGACAGGGGTACACAACACACACTTTTATACCTGACATATTATGCATGGTCTAATCGAGCTGAGATTTGTGGATTTTGTCTCGTGGGTTTTGGTTGGGTTTCGTTATTGTTCGGCGCGTGGGCAAAAAGTAAGGTAGAGGAAAAATGTATAACTCTGGCTGTTGTTTTGCTCTTGTTTTGCTGTTGTTTTCCAGCTGTCATAAATGTCTGACAATTGTCGGGCAATGCATTTTGACATGTGTTGAGAATTGCATATATTGTGGAACGGATCAAACGAATTATATTCAGGTAATGCGTGTGTGGGCCAAAAGCCCAAACTCCAACTAGAATGGGAATGGAAATGGAAATGGAAATCAGCAGTGAAAATGGATTTGGGTTTGGATATACGAGTATGTATGGGCTATGGGTATATAGCTATGGGAATGGGAATGGGAATGGGAATTCACGCGCTCTTTGTTTGCCTTAGCCTTATACATTTTTCACTCAATTAGCGATGCGAAAATTGTTGTTATGTAAAATGCAAAATGCAAAATGCATAAAATGTAAATGTAACACAACAATCGTATCAAAATCAAATCTATGCTAATTCATATTTAATGCTACATAATAATATTAATATGTAATGGGAGTATTATTTATGTGGAGCACTCATTGTGTTGGATAACCATCAGACAGCAGTTCCAAGCGATTGGCCACATGTCAACATGCAATCGTTCAAGCAACATCGTCTTGCAACATCCATTAACCATTAACCAGCTGCCAGTCAACTTGGTGTTTTTTTCTTCTGTTTTTTGCTGTTTTTGTTGTTGCTTTTTTGCTCAATTAAGTTAAGTAACTTTCGGGCGACTGCTTTCTAGCATTCTCTAGTTGGGCACCTACTAACCTAGCTCCCAGCTGAGCAGCAGAGCAGCCAATACACAACTGGCAACGTCGCTGGGCCCAGCGACTTGCAGTTGAGGCAGTTGCAAGCTGCAAGTTGCACGACTCTCGCCCCAGTTGCCAACTCAACGCCAACTGTCGTCGCTCTGTTGTCGTTGTCGTCGCAGACATCAGATAGCAACAAGCGCAACAACACACAGCAAATCAGGTCAATGCTTCAGCATCGGCTTAGAACTGAGCTGTGCTGAGCTGAGCTGAGCTTAGCGTTGTTGTTAGCTCATTTGCCTCATAGGCCGACAATTTGGCCACTCAATGTATGTGGGCGTCAGTCATGTTGCGTCGTCGATAACTTGGCAATCGACTAATTAAAAACTACCTCATTTTTCCTTTGTCATTTGAGCAATAATATTTTGTTTTGTTTTGATTTTGATTTTGTGTTGATTTTGTTTGGCCTGCGAGCGTGGGACCTAATTAAGCGTTACGGCCAAATTGCTGTCCATCAGTTGACCATAAACAGTGAGGGGGCCCGCTTATTTGGCCACCATTTAGGCAGTATTTCGAGGCAGTATGTGTTTGCTCATTAGAAGGGTCAACAGACAAAAAGCGAATAAGGTTTGCGCAATTTCAAATACCTCTAATGAATAGTTTCACTCTGCAAATAAGCTGAACACTTTGGTGTGCTCCAGCAGCAAGCCCAAGCCCTCAAAAGCAATATACTCTACCTCGGTAGATGGCTGCAAGTTAAGTAGAAGATCGCTAGCCGTATTTTATGCTGAATCTAAATGGATTCAATGGCAGTATTAAGTTTGAGCAAGTTAGCTAAATATCTCTTTATAAGAAAAACTACAACCTAAATGATTAACAGGGCCTAGTTCTTGTGCAATACTTAAGAACTTGGTGTTTCTGCTTTTAATTACTTAAGTTTCAAGTCGTTTTGTGTAAATACAATTTTTGATTTATGCGATTCGATTTTATATATTCCCTTTTAAATATGTACATACTAATGCATTTCCTAGTTATTAAGTTGGTTGCAATCAATCAATATAAATAAATATATGTTGTGCCCCTGTTGTCCTTGTTGTTGCAACCAATGGAATCTAGAGTCGTATCCACCGTGTCTACCACCCTACCACCCCCCACTGCAATTAAGTAATTTTCTGCATTGCACACAATGCTTAAAAATAAATAAATCAATTGTTTCTTTTTGTATATTGAATTGAGTGTGATTAGTCAATTAAAGTTGGCCTATAATGTGAATCGGAATTTGCCATTGAGGCATCGAGTGAGGCACCGAACCGAGTCTGTCTGTTGTCCTCTGTTGTCCGGACTCTGCACTCCGGACATTGGCGCCGGCATCGAATCGTAAGATCGCTAAATTTTCACACTTGTCTGACACGCCTCAAAACAGAGACAGAGAGAGAGAAAGAGAATGGGGATTGGGGAATGCGGGGGAGAAGGGATCGACCCCGAAGCAGTTCCGAGTACACCCACTCAGGCAGCCAGGCAGCCAGGCAGCAGGCAGCCAGGGTTGTCTCGATTGTCTCGTAATAACTTCATAAAGTGGGCGCCGAAAAGTGAAATGGAAATGAAAATGGGGAAAAAAAAACGATGGAAAATACTATGAAAATAAAATCGTAATCATGCAGGCGGCTGGCTGCTTGGCTGGCTGGGCAGGAAGTAAGAAGCAGGCGTTAACACATTAAGAGACACACATTTATACACACATATATATAAATATGTATATAAATATATATATATTTATGTGTAGGGGCTGCTGCTGGCAACGGCTCACATTTTGGCACCAAAAACAATGGGAACAAGCAGCGGCAACAATGCGACTGCCCTTAATATACAAGAGACTAACAATCAAGTGGCGCAAACGCGGCATGAAAATGAAAACTTGTTTTTCCGCATGCCAGGAAAAACGTACACATAAATATGTACTTCAATATGTATGCTGAAAGCACTGCGCCAACTACTGGTAGCTGCTCATGTTGCTACTGCTGCTGCTGTTGCTGCTGCTGCTGTGCTGATGTCGTTGTTGTTGTTGTTGTTGTCGCTACAACAATGTAAAACTTTTCCTTTTTCGAGTCGACTCGTTCATCAGCTGGCGACGTGTGTCTGTCGCTTGTCGTTTGTTGTTTGTCGTCTGTCGAGTTTTAAGCGCATCTTTACCCACATTTTATGCATTGCGACGTCACAACGTCACATCAAATGGCAATTGGTGCGTCAGGCAGGAGGCATCTGATTGAGCCGCTTAAAAAATACACACACACACACACACACACACACGCACACACACACCAGTTGGCCAGTGGCTGATGTGTGCATTTGTCAATCATACGCCGCATTGTGCAGCTTTCCTTATGGCAACATTAATGCGGGGAAGAGCTGACGGAACGAGCCAGGGGGTTGGGGATTCGGACTGGCAATTGGCCAATTGGCATTTTGGTGTTGTCGCACGATCCAAAAATAGTCATTACGACCAACTAACCAAAGCAGCAACTAACTAACTGTCTTTGCATCTGGCAATCTGACACTTAATTGCCAGCATTTTCAGCACATTTTCAGTGCATTTGTCAGCAAAAAATAGATAAAAAAAAAATAAGCCAAGATAAAAAAGGCAAGCGCTCTTTAATTGCATTTTGTCGGAATTTATATCCAGCAATTTGCAATTTACAATTGCTGAATGGACACCTTAAACTGCTGTAATTTCAATTGCGATGCAACTTTTAAGCTAATTTGCTAATTTGCAGCCTTAAAGCACTAGTCAAAAGTCAAAGTAATCATTATTAATTAAACAATGAAGACGAATATGATATAAATAATAAATAATGCGATATGTGGCAGCTAAGCTAGTCAACAGATGTTTACCAATTATAAACTTGACTCGATTATTGTGAAATATAATTAATCAAAAATCATAAACTGTATAAAATGTTTAAATTTCAAAAGTAAATTAAATCACTCAATAAATGGGCAGCATTTATTAAGTCAAGTCTCGTCTCTTTCTATAATTAAAATAGAATATTGTTCATATATATTGTATGTACATAAAACGATTTGTATATCGGAACTAATTAGCTTAGCTCAATAGCGGAAATGGTTATTAGTGAATGCATCTAAACAAAATTTCAAGTGCAAAAATGCTGCAAATTTTTCATTGCAATTGCATCTTTCTCATAATGACAACAACAATTGTTGCTGTCAACAGGTGAAGAGACTTTTG